CCTTGCTCTGAGCTACAGCACTCTGAAGTGTTGTGCTTTGAGGCACTCTGCAGTGAGCTGCACTGCTCTGAGCTGCAGGACTGTAGGGTGCTCTCCTATGGGGCTCAGCTCTGAAGTATTCCTCTCTGATATACACCACTGTGGGGTGCTCTGCTCTGAGGTGCTCCAATCTGCTCTGAGCTCACTACTCTTAGTTGCTGTGCCCTCCTCAGATCTACAGAACTCTGACGTGATCTGCCCTGCTCTAAGCTACACAACTCTGAGGTGCTCAGCTCTGACCTACAGCACTGTGAGATGCTCTGCCCTACTCTGAGCTATAGCACTCTGTGCTGCTGTTGTCTGAGCTACTCTGCTCCGAGGTGTTCTGCGCTGAGCTACTCTGCTCTGAGGTGCTTCACTCTGCTCTGAGCTACACCCCTTTGAGTTGCTCTGCTCTGAGGTGCTTGGCTCTAAGCTGCCCTGCTCTTAGCTACAGCCCTCTGAGCTGCTCTGCTGAGGTGCTCAGCTCTGAAATATTCCTCAGATCTACACCACTGTGGGATGCTCTGCTCTGAGGTGCTCAGCTCTGTGCTACAGCACTCTGAGGTTCTCTGCTGTGAGCTACTCTCTCCTCTGAGGTGTTCCACTCTGCTCTGAGCTGCTCTGCTCTGGGGTGCTGTGCCCTGTTCAGAGCTAGAGCACCCTGAGGTGATTTACTCCGAGGTGCTCTGCACTGCTCTGAGCTACACCACTCTTCCCTGCTCTAAGGTACGCCACTCTGGGGTGCTCTGCTTTGAGTTACACCACTTTTGGTTGCTCTTTCCAAGGTGCTCAGCTCTGAGGTGCTCAGCTCTGAGGTACTCTGCTTTGCTGTGAGGTGCTCTGGTGTGATGTGCAATGCTCCCCTCTGATGTGCTCTGCTGTTCTCCCTGGTGCTCCACTCTGAGGTGCCCTACTCTGTTCTGAGGTCCTCCGCTCTGCTCCTGGGAGATATCTTCAGTGCTTCAGCTCCAGCCAGGGAATCACACTCTTCAGTTTTTTTGTTTGTTTTTTTAGCTGAGCCATCCTGCTACCTATTGGCAGCTCAGTGGCTGCACAGCTCGGGCTGGGACTCGAACCGCTGTTGCTCAGAGCTCAAACTCTTGATCGAGCTCTTAACCAACTGAGCCACTCAGCCGGCCCTCCACACTCTTCAGTTTTTGATGGAGCAGTGCTCACGTCTAGCCAGAGGGGAGCTGACTTTTATAGACAGACGGCCCTGCCTTTGTTTCCTGATTGGTCCATCGTCATGCAAATGAGGGCTCAAATCATTGCAGTTTCATTGGTTCAAAAATGACTGTCCTGATTGGTCAGAATGGAGCTGTTCTGATTTTTCAGTGGAGATGCTAACGAGGTTATAGCTGCACTGTTCCTATTGGATGGGGAAAGTCTCAGTTCTATTGGTTGAAAAATTACGATTCCAGGAACTCCTTTATAAGGGTTGGCTCAGCTGGCAGGAACATAGTGCAGGCAGACAGTTCAGTGCAGGTGGCAAGGGGTATAGTGCAGGCTTCTTCCTGAAGAATAACTTGTGTGAGAGGCCCCTGGTTAACAATAACTGCTAGGTTCTGTTTAGAAATTTGAGTCCAGTTATCCACCAGGAGCCCTTCTTGATAGGTACATTCATTCTCGGGGTCAACACTTCCAGTAACATTCTTTAGCAATTCTGATGGCACTTTCCTAATAGCCTGCTGGCTACTGTCTACTACTGGAGGGCAGGGATTATGTCTGCATTGTGCCTGTAGCCTCCATAGTGTCCAGAACAGTGTCCAGGACTCACTGGACCATTTTGGGTTTGACAAGTCGCTGCATGACCTTGCTCTTGCCTGCTACCTTAGCCATATCTTTATCCACTCTCCTGTCTATGGCTATACTGGATTTCTGTCAATTTTTTTCAAAAGTGCCAAGTGTTTTCCTACATTGGATATTTTGCCCACACTTTCCTCTCTGCCCCAAATGCTTTTCCATCCATTCACCATCTGGTTAACTCCTGCTTATCTCAGCTTAAAACCTTACTTCTATAGGAAGCTTCTCAGAAAAAACTGCACATTTATTACACTACCAGACATCTCATAAGCTTGTAACCATGGGAGAAGGAGTGAATGAAGGGAAGTGGAGGCCTCAGAACAGATCCACCTGCTCCTTCTACCACCATGACTAGGAAACACACACTAAATACCTGCCCTGGGAACTGTGGATCAAGAGTAACTACTTTGGGGCCGGCTGAGTGGCGCGATGGTTAAGAACTGGCTTGGGACACCAGAGGGCCCCGGTTCGGATCCCACATATGAGGGCCAGTGACATTGCCCTCTACAGCTAACATGCTGAACAACAGCTCAACCTGGAGCTGGGCTGCCCTGAGTCACCAGCGACAGCGACGGCGTGGGCTACAGCCCCTGTGGCAGTGGGTTGCCATGGGCTACCGTGTGTAGCCAGCAGCCAGCGTGAGCGGCCAGCAGCTGCAGTGAGTGGCGTCCAGAAGCTGGCGACTGATCTGCCTCGCCCGGGAAGAGCGCAATGATGGTGCCAGCTTGGGCCAGTGGAGCAACGTCCTCCACAACTAGACTGAGGAACAAAACGACAGCAACTTGTCTGCTCCCCTTCCCCCAATTCCCCAGCAGTGTTCCCATCCCCCGAATTCCCCAATAAAAAAAATCTTAAAAAAAAAGAGTAACTACTTTGGTTTTCAAGGATAACACAATACCTGCTCCTCCCCTAGAGTGCTATGCCTTCCCCTGCCTATTATCTTGCCCCCTGGGGCATAATGTTTCTTAAGGCTCTCCCAAGTTACCTGTTTATCATTGAGAAGAGCTGCAAAATGTGCTGGAAAGAAGGGTCAAGTCAGGTGGGACCTACAACTTAATTTGTTATTGTGAAGGCTCTTGTCTTGGAACCTCTTGATGTCTTGGTACTCAGTGGTCAGGAATTGGAGATCAGAACTAGGTAATAAGAATGAAGGATAAAGTCAGAGAAACACAGGTAGGGATGGAAAGTAGACAACAACACATATATGTGAGCAGGACTTGTAATGAGGATGATAAGGGCAGAATGATTGCATTCTAATTTTGTTGATTTTGGAAAGATTTTCCATTGCTTTCCACTGCTTCCAAGTTGTGAAATTTCCCTCAAATTAGCCTTTTAGGCCAAGGTTACGAATTGGCAGTTGTAGGCTGAGTCTAGCTCTCACACTTGGTTTCAGTTGGCCAGCACAGTGTTGATAAAACATATTTGAATTAGTTGCCAACATTTGAGCATTGGAAGATTTCATGTAATTTTTTTTTGGTTTCTCTTAAAAAAACTGGAAAATCTGGCACCCCAGTCCCACATTCCCATCCAGCATCAATCAGCTGGAGCTGAGCACAGCCATCCCCTTTGGATGAGACATACGGCAGTCCTCCATTATCTGTGGGAGATACGATCCAAGACCCCCCACTGGATGCCTGAAATGGTGGATAGTACTGAACCCTCTATATACTTTTTTATTTTCTTGTACATACATACCTTTTCACTTAAAAGAAGCACTTTATGGCTTCTCTTTGGCATACCTGAATTACCAGCATCACTGCTCTCATGCTTTGGGGCCATTATTCAATAAAATAAGAGTGACTTTAACACAAGCACTGTGATACTGTGACAGACAACCGATCTGACAAATGAGATAACTACTAAGTGACTAGCGGGTGAGGAGCATATACAGTGTGGAGACGCTGGACAAAGGGATGATTCATGGCCCAGGTGGGTTAGTGTGAAAATAACTTGAGATTTCATCATGCTGCTCAGAATGGTGTGCAATTGAAAACTTATGAATTGTTATTTCTGGAATTTTCCATTTAATATTTTCAGACTGCAGTTGACTGTGGGTAACTGAAACCGTGGAAAGCGAACTGAGGATAAGGGGTGGGGCTATTGTATTCTTTCCCGGTTCTCTACATTCCCCATCCAGTGTGCTTCCCTTGTTCAACATTTGTATATCTAAAGAAATGATCACCATAAGTCCAGCAACCATCTGACACTGTACAATGCTATCATAATATTATTGACTATATTCTCTATGCTGTACGTTACATCCCCATGACTTGTTTTATACCTGGAAATTTGTACCTCTTATTCCCCTTCACCTTACCCCCCTTTTAATTTTTCAATTACAGTTAACATTCAATATTATTTTGTATTAATTTCAGGTGTACAGCATAGTGGTTAAACATTTGTATAATTTAAGAAGTGATCTCCCCGATGAGTCTAGTACTCACCTGGCACTACACATAGCTATTACCATACTATGACTATATTCCTTATGCTTTACTTGACATCTATAAGACTATATTTGTGACTACCAATTTATACTTCATAATCCCTTCGCTTTTTTTTACCCAGCCCCCCAAACCTCCTCCCATTTATTATCCTGATAAATCTAGTACCCATCTGACACCATACATAGTTATTACAATATTATTGACTATATTCCTTATGCTATGCCCTACATCCCCCTGACTATGTTGTAACAACCAATTTGTACTTTTTAATCCCTTCCCATTTTTCAGCCACCCTTTCCATCCCCTTCCTATCTGGCAAGCATCAAAATGTTCTCTGTATTTATGAGTGTGTTTCTGTTTTGCTTGTTTGTTTATTTTGTTATTTAGATTCCACATATTGGTAACATCATTGCGTTCTTCCTGGGTGAGGCAGATCAGTCGCCGGCATCTGGACTGCCGCTCATGCTGGCTGCTGGCCACACACGGTAGCCCATGGCAACCCACTGCAGCAGGGGCTGCAGCCTACGCCGTGGCTGGCAACTCACGGCAGCCCAGCTCCAGGTTGAGCTGTTGTTCAGCATCTTAGCTGTGGAGGGCAGTGTCACTGGCCCTCATATGTGGGATCCGAACCGGGGCCCTCTGGCATCCCAAGGCAGCTCTAACGCGCCACTCAGCCGGCCCAAAGCACTAATTTTTAAGATTGTGAGATGACGTCATAGAAATGGCGGCATGAGGTGAGTCTCTTGAAATCTCCCCTGGAATTTACAACAAATTGAACAACTATAATTCCACAAAGGACTCCCTGCTCAGCAGACAGGCAAGACTAAGAGACGTGCAACTGAAATCATCTAAAGATGGGCAAATTGGGCAAGCAGGGGAGCAGGGCAGGGGGAAGAGGGAAGCTGCAGGCCGAGCGAGTGCAGGATGCAGACCAGTGCCCTGAGTTCGGAGCTCCGAGCTCCTGCATTGCATTCCAGAGCTACTGAAGTCACAGGAGAGGGAAGATTTCAGACTGCTAGTGCTCCCCTTATGGCCCACCGTCCCTCCTGAGGGATCAGCATATAACATGGCTAAACCCCACTCTTGCGACAGAGACCTTGGAGCAAAGACTGAGGGATGAAGGGTGAAAACAGTGGTTTAAGCCCTCACTGCCAAGCAGAGGATGGAAGGCATGAAACCTAGCCACCCCCTCCACACCCTCCGAAAGCTTGACCCACCCCTACCTGCACAGTGCTAGAAGTGGAACAGTAGCAGTGTCAGATCAAAAGAACAGAATATTTGCAGTTCTGAAAAATGTGGCCTGCAGCCATGGACTCACAGCCCCACTAGTTCCGGAGAAAGGGAGGGAGCCTGGGTGCAGGATGGGCAGTGCTGGTGGTCACTGCCATTGCTCAGAGTCATCTCACACAATCCACCCCGCCCCTGACCCCACCTATCTGGGCGGATCCCTGCAGGGGTAAACAGCTGCTGAAACACACAGGCCTTGAACCTGGTGCAGAAAGAGCTTTGCAACTTCAGGAACTCTCCACATCCCCCAGTGGAGGTGGTGCCCTGAGACCCAGGTGACCTGCTCACAGGGGAGAAGCCCACCTTTCAGGGAATCCCCCCATAAGGTAGTTCCATTTCCAGTTTTTTGAGATACCTCCATACTGATTTCCATAGTGGCTGCACCAATCTGCAGTCCCACCAACAGTGCACCAGGGTTCCCTTTTCTCCACAACCTTGTCAATTGAATTTATATATAGTCATGGGACATGGAGTATATATAGTATGGGAGTGGAGTCAAGGAAATTTTAATAGATATGTGTGATATGGGGGGGGAGTGGGTTGTCACTTTGAGGGGTAAAAAGTATAACTATTGCACTGTGTTGTACAGCTGAAACTAATAAAAAATGTTTATTTTACAATAAAAAATACCAAAAAACCCAACAAAATGGATCACAGACCTAACATAAGACCTGAAACAATAAACTGCATAGAAGAAAACATAGGTACTAAACTTATGGACCTTGGGTTCAAAGAGCATTTTATGAATTTGACCTCAAAAGCAAGGAAAGTAAAAGGTAAAATAAATGAATGGGACTGTATCAAACTAAAAAGCTCCTGCATAGCAAAAGAAACCATCGACAAAATAAAGATGCAACCAACCGAATGGGAGAAGATTTTTGCAAACAACACTTCTGATAAGGGGCTAATATCCAAACATATAAGAATTAATACAACTCAATAGCAAAAAAAAAAAAAACAATCCGATTAAAAATGGGCAGAGGACCTGAATAGACATTTCTCCAAAGAGGACATATAGATGGCCAATAGACATATGAAAAAATGCTCAACATCACTAATCATCAGAGAAATGCAAATAAAAACCACAATGAGATATCACTTCACACCTGTTAGAATAGCTATCATCAACAGGACAATAGCAAATGTTGGAGAGGCTGTGGAGAGAAAGGAACCCTCATACACTGTTGGTGGGAATGCAGATTGGTGCAGCTGCTATGGAAGGCAGTGTGGAGGTTACTCAAAAAATTAAAAGTAGAATTACCATATGACCCAGCAATCCCTCTCTTGGGTCTACCCCAAAAATCTGAAAACATTTATCTGTGAAGATATATGTACTCCGATGTTCATTGCAGCTTTATTTATGGTAGCCAAGACATGGAAACAACCAAAATTTCCTTCCATAGATGATTGGATAAAAAAGTTGTGGTACATATACACAATAGAATACTATTCTGTCATCAGAAAAGATGAAATAGTGCCATTTGCAACAACATGGATGTATCCTGAGATTATAATGCTAAGCAAAATAAGTCAGTCAGAAAAAGTCGAGAACCATATGATTTCACTGATATGTGGTATATAAAACTGAAAACAGCAAAAGAACAAGAAAAACAAATGAAGAAAGAAAACTCATAGACACAGACATGAGTTTAGTGGTTACCAGAGGAAGGTAAGGGGATAAGGGTGTGGTAGTAGAGGGTAAAGTGGATGAAATATATGGTGATGGAAAAATAACTGACTCTCGGTGTGAACACACAAAGTGATATATAGATAATGTATTACAGAATTGTACACCTGAAATCTATGTAACTTTGCTAACAACAGGCACCCCAATAAACTTTAATTAAAAGAAAAGATTGTGATGCTGGCTTGAAAGTGAAATATTTATCAGTGGAACAGAGGAAGGAGTTTGGAAAAAACTTTTAGCATATATAACATTAATAGATATCAAATATGCACCATAAAATGATGAGCAAAATATTTAATAATAAGTAAGCAGTTTGGAACAATTGAATATAAATGTGGAAAAAATTAACTTAGAACTACACATATCCAACTATAGGGCACAGCTGATCTCAGGTGGTGTTTTAACTGAGTTAAAATCAGGTAAAATCAAATCTAAAGAATAGAATAGACAACTCTTCATATACACAATTATTTGATAAAGTATAATCCCAACTGTGGGGAATAGGACAATTTGTAGAACAAAAAGCACATAGGATAAATCATTACTTGGAAAATATGTACCTCATTATGGGATAAGGAAGTACAAATACAACAGAGTACCAATTTATGCCCATTTAATCAACCAAAAAATTGTTTTAAGAGATAAAACCCAATGTTCGTGGGGCTGTGGAGAAATACATGTTAGAAGTGTTGGTAATAATAACAGTAGCCAACATTTATTGTGCCCACTTTCCTCATAACATTCCTATGCATGGGGGCTGTTGTTTCTCCCATTCCATAATTGGGACAAAAGTGACTCAGAGATGTGGGGTAACTATTGTACCCTCACATAGTTGATATAGGTAAGACCAGACTAATAAAGCTTTGTTGAAGTCCAAACCCTGTGTTCATAACCAAAACTCCACATTGCTTTCCACAGCAATATGTAACTAGAGCAGTGAAAAAATCCTTACCCTGTGAGTAATGTATTCCAGGCCCAGAAATTTAGCTTGAGAAAATAATTTCAGAAAAACAAAGAAAGCTAAGCTTTTCTTGAAGTTACAGCTCTAGTGCTCCTTGGGCCTTGCAGGCCAAACAAGGGCTTTCTGTAGAACTCCACCTGGCTGTGTGCCTTGGGGGCTCTTCTGGGCCTTTGGAAGGGATTGGCCTAGGCTAAAACATCTAGAGACCCTAGGATTGCTTCAGGTCAGCAGCCTTCACTGGAAAAAAATACTGAACCTAGGTTGGCATGCATATAAAAGCAGCAAAACAATTGATAACTCAAAATATCAAGAAGAGTATGAAACACCCTGCAGAGAGCAAGATCTTTCTCTTGACTACTGGCTTGCCAAAGCAGGATCTTACTATAATAAAAGATTAGTGGGAATGATGAAAGAACAAGAGACAAGCAGTGAAATCAAGAAGAAATTGGAGGGGAAAACAACCCAAAGCATAGAGGGACAAAATGGTACTATTTGGTACCTGAGAGAGAGAGAGATGAAACACATAAAGAAGCAAATACATCAAGCAGGAAAAGTGAAAGAACTTAAGAAGAAAATGTTTAGGCAACTACTACAATTCCATAATGAAACAACATTCCAAAAAATTGTGCCAGAAGAACATGGTGTCCAGAATGCACAGAGAAGAAAACAGGTAAATGAGAGGGAACAGATACAAATTGAAGATCATCAGGAATGCATGATTTGAGTGAGAGTATTCATAGTGCGAAGACTCACGGAAAGAATCTTGAGAAAAAGCCAGAGTCAGCTACCTGCACAGGAGAAGCATGAAAGAGTGAAGAAAGAGATAACAGAGTTTGAAAGCGTTATTGCATATCCACTTTATTAGCCATGTAATAGAAGTCACATTAAAGTGAATATTCTTATGGAAAAGTCTCAGAATAGAAAAGAAAATACAATTATAAAACCATATCAAATAAAATTCTTAACTATGCCTCCCTTTTTGAGAAGTCAAATAAGAAAATAAAAGATTAGTAAAGTTTCAGTTCTTTTATGATAAAAAAGAAAATAAATTCAAAGAAAAATAAACAGTATATACCCATCCATGTACACAATGAGGTTTAACAAATAACTATTGATTGCTCATTATCTACCAGGAAAAAAACTATAAACAAATTACAATACATGAATTCAAACACAAAAATGATCATTGTAACGAATATGATCAAATGTGGAAAAATATTGATGAAATGTTAAATGAAATATATTGACCACACTACTGGATATTCTCTATATAGAGACAATTGGTCACAGGGTGCGATTCAAGATTCAAGAGGTAAATCTAGTCAGAAAGGTTATGTGAATTGGGGCAGGGATTGGAGACAATTTCCAAGAACATTTTCAGCGTGGAAGCTTACCGCTTCCTTTCATTAAACCAGGCTGTCCATTTCTGATTGATTGCGTGTAACAGCCAACTTTGTAAAAATGTAGAAATGGTTTGTTTACCCGCCCCAAGGTTAATGGATAAGCGCTTTAGTCCCATAGAAAACAACAATACCCCCTGCCCCTCCCC